GGCATTGACCTCGCAACTCGGCACGTGACTGGGTAATCCGCGCACCAAGTCGTTCATGATGTCTTCTTCCACCGCGGCCAAAGCAAAGTGGATGCGAGACCCACGGGGATTCGGCCTCTCCGAGAAGTGGGACGCCAAGTACCCAAAACGGTCCATGCCCAGAACGATGTCCACGGCTGCGTGGATTTGCACTGACAAGTTCCACAAGAAAGGAATGTCGTGCGATGGCTTCCCCAAGTGAACCAACCGAATTAAGTTTTTTTGTTGGCAGCCTTCGGGGGCATGTCGAAGTATTCCATCATGAACGCCGTGGAAACGGTCTCCCTCCCTCAAAGCAATGCAATGTGATTGCAATGCCGTGCGAGTGCAACGCAATGGAATACGATTGCCATGCAATGCAATGCAGTGCAATGCGATGCACTGCGATTGAAAGGAAGGGGAGGAGGAGGAAGATGATTGAAGAAGAGAGGCATCGATGCCAGAGTCTTCTTCTACGACAAGAAAAGCAGGGGCACCGATATGCGCGCGCGCCCAGGAAGAACCTATGATGATACATAGCGTTCCAATCACAAGTAAATCCATCAAAAAGGCCTTGTTGTAATCATACAAACAAAGGGTCGCACGGTATCCCCCCCCCTTAGGTTCCCTGGTAAAACAAAACGCTATGCGGTTACCTTTTTGTTCCAACATAGCACTTTTCACGAATCTCTTGCAACAAATGGGACGAAGTGCGCACGCGCGCGTCGTCGCGCGCGCATGCCGAAATCCTTCAAAAACATTCGATGCCGGAAGGATTTCGCAATCGAGTTTTCAAAAAAACATGCAAAAACACATGGTTTCGCAACACTGATTTGCTAAAACAACTTCCGCACGAGCTCTTGCGAATTCTCAAGAAAACCATACCAAACGGGCTTCGCGCGCGCGCATGTCGAAATCTGTCGAACGCCCTTGCGCGTGTGCCGTCGCGAGAATCCTCTGCAAAAAATTGGACGAAGTGCAGACGCGCGCGTCGTCGCGCGCGTCGTCGCGGGCGTATGCCAAAAACCTTCAAAACCAATCGATTTCGGAAGGATTTCAAAATCGTGCGTCCAAAAAACCTACAAAAACCCAGGGTTTCGCAACACGGATTTTCAACAGAAGCGTGTGCGCGCGTTCTTGCGTCGTCGTCGTCGTCGTCGCCGTCCTCCCTCCTCCCGCGTCGTCGTCGTCGTCGTCGCCTACGTCGTCCTCTGTCTTTTCTCGTGTTTCGTCGTCGTCCTCTTTGGCGTCGTGGTCGTTTCCGTCGTCGTTGTCGCCGTGGTCGTCCTTCCTCCTCCTCCCACGTCGTCGTCGTCGTCGTCGTCCGTCGTCGGCGTCTCGTCGTCGTCCCCCCTATTTCGTCGCCGTCGTCGTCGTCGTTGTCGTCGTCGTCTTCCCTCCTCCCTCGTCGTTGTCGTCGGCGTCGCCGTCCTTCCTCCTTCGTCGTCGTTCGCGTCGTCGCCGTCCTCCCTCCTCCCTCGTCGTTGTCGTCGTTGTTGTCGTTGTCGCCGTCGTCGTCCTTCCTCCTCCATCGTCGTCGCCTTCGTTGGCGTCGTCGTCGTCGTCGTCGTCTTCGTCGTCGTCGGCGTCGTTGTCGTCGTCGAAGTCGTCGGAGACGTCGTCTGTGTCGTCCTAGTCGTTGTCGTCGGTGTCGTCGTAGTCGGTCTGAAGAGGTTTTGCAAACCAAGTTGCGGGTGGGTGGGTGGGATGTTTGCGCGAGCAGTGGAGAGGACAGCTTCAAGACGGTCAAAGTGGACTGCACCACATAGATTGCACAGCATCGATTGCTCCACGTGGTTGCATCACATGTATTGCTCCACATAAGCAACACCACATATATTGCGAGAGACACACTGTTTGGGGCCACGCTGGCTAAGATATTGTTGTGCCCCCTCCCACAAGGTTCCCAGCAGCCTCTGGCACAACCCGCCGGCCACACAGAAAAACCGGAAACTAATTTCTTCCGCCTCCAAGATGGCCTCCAAGACGCCTCCAAGAGGGCCAGCATGACCCCAAAGCGGTCCCAAGAGTGCTCCAAGAGGAACTCCAGGAGGCCAAAAAGTTACTGCCTTGACTCAGGTCTTCCAATGATGTTAGTGTTTTCGCCCTTTCGGGCTTCCGGCTCTCCAAGCGGGCTCCATATGCCCCCAAGAGATCGCCCCAAGACGACCCAGGGGGCCTCCAAGGCGGGCCAAGAGGGCCCCAGGACAGCCCAAGAGGCCCGCAAGACGGCCCCACAACTGCCCAGAGAGGCTCCCAAGACGGCCTCCGAAGGCCAAAGCGGCGGTCCATCTGAGGCCCCCAAAGCCCTCAGAGGCCCCGAAAAGGCTCACAAGAAGGCCCAGGAGGCCCCCAAGAGGCCCCGACGAGGCCTCCAAGAGGCTCCCAGGAAGCCCGCAGGAAGCCCCAAGACGGCCTCGACAGGCCTTCTTTTCCCCTTCCTGCTCTTCGTTATCCTCCTCATTCCTCTCCTCTTCCTTTCTCTTTCTCTCCCGACTGTTCCCCCAATGGGTTCCACAACGGCTGGGAAACACACATAGTCCAATAGCTTGATCAGAATCTTGCCCACGTTTGGCCGCATGGGCGTTTCCAGAGGGCAGGGGGCGGCGGTGGTTCGCCGTAGGCGCCTTGGATAAAACCGACCCTGCCATGGGTCAAACTTGTCAGGTGATGTGAAGAGTGGGACAGAGCTGATCACCCGGCAAGACACTCGAGTCAAAAGAGCAACGGATGAAGATAGCGCCGCAGTCACCAAGTGTGGCATGGCTGGGGCACAGAGAATGTCGGATCTAGACGCAGAAACAGGATCGACACAGAGCTAACCTTCCACCTTCCCTCACTCACACATCCTCTCCCATCGCTCCTCTCCTCCGTCCTCCCTCTTCGTCCCCTCTCATCCTCCTTCTTCCTTCCTCCGCTTCCTGTTTACTCTTTCCTCACTTCCAATTCGAAACAAGCACACACCCGAGACTCAATGACCACGAACATGAGCGCACCAGCGGAGCCTCCCCCACGGCCCCGAGGGCCGCCCAACATGGGGCCAGCTTTGGATCGGGAAGCCGGGTCGAGGTCGGAACCCCGTCGTAACTGATGGAATCGGGGCCAAGTCGGCAGTCGCCGCGTCGGCTCTCAAATCACAAACCAGAGCTCGAATCGAAGACTTTCTCGAGTCGGATCGATGCCGAACCGGCCTGGGGCTGCGCCGGATCGGGCCAGATCGGAGACCCAGGTCACCAGACGCTGAAAAGCGCCCGCCGCTGACGACGAGGAGACGCAGACAGGGCCGGGGGGCGCCCCCGTCGACACAGACTGCCGATTCTGCGTTTCTTCCCCGAACAGTGCTTGCACTACTGCAGCGTGGCTAATGGTTGTGACCTCTGTCACGGCGCGCTTGTGAATCGAGATGCGCGGAGAGAGCGCTTCCTCAAGCGATGCTGCGATGAGGCGAGGTGTCCCAGACCACAAGAACCCGCTCGCCGTAGTCATAAAACGGGGTGAACCACCCCAGCGGTGGTGTAAGCTCTCCATGTGGAAAAACGGGCGGGGGAAATTTCCACACCGCTATGCACATACAATAACCCCCCGCAAAGAACGACAAAACCGGGTGTGGGGCCGAAACCCACTCCGCCACAGCCCGGTCCCACATTGCAGGACTCTGCAGGGGGGCAGGGGTCCCACGTCTGCAGCGATGGCCAGATCTTTAGCAGCAGCTTGCGCGGCTTCTGCGCAAGTGCTCGGGCGGGTTCACACGGCGCTCGCCGGGTCGCCGCCCGCGGGCGCCTCCTGCGCTGGCGCCGCCCGTGGGGGCGCCTCGCGCCTTGGCTGGGTTGCCAGGGCTTCGCCTGGCCGCCGTCCGTGGGCGCCTCGTGGGCGTCCCCGTCCGTTGGCTGGCGGCGCGAAGCACACACTGTTCACACCCCATAGATTGCAAACGCAAATTGCGCTCAGTCGTTGTCGTCGTCGTTGTCGTCGTCGTCATCCCTTCTCCCTCGTCGTTGTCGTCGTCGGCGTCGCCGTCCTTCCTCCTTCTCTGTCGTTCGCGTCGTCGCCGTCCTCCCTCCTCCCTCGTCGTTGTCGTCGTTGTCGTCGTTGTCGCCGTCGTCGTCCTTCCTCCTCCCTCGTCGTCGCCTTCGTTGGCGTCGTCGTCGTCGTCTTCGTCGTCGTCGGCGTCGTTGTCGCCGTCGAAGTCGTCGGAAACGTCGTCGGTGTCGTCGTAGTCGTTGTCGTCGGTGTCGTCGTAGTCGGTCTTGAGAGGTTTTGCAAACCAAGTTGCGGGTGGGTGGGTGGGATGTTTGCGCGAGCAGTGGAGATGACGACTTCAAGTTCAGCGGAGTGGTTCACACCCCATAGATTGCAAACGCAAATTGCGCTCAGTAGATTGCACCACGCAGATTGCGCCCCATAGTTTGCATCGAATGGCATGCACTACGCAGAGTGCACCCCAAATGCTGCACCTAATACGGTTTGCTGGCGGCTCGAAGCACACATTGCCCACACCCAACAGGTTGCACCACGCAGATGGCGCCCCATAGCTTGCATCGAATGGCATGCACTGCGCAGAGTGCACCGTACATGCTGCACCAAACATCTTGCATCACACGTATAGAGTGCAACACATACATTGCACCACATCGCATACATCACATAGATTGCAACTCAGGGGCAAAACCCCCTTCCGCAAAACACCCTGTAGTAAAAACGACCCGGGGACCACACCTGGCGGGCGCAAGCCCGCAAACATGCGGCCGCAAACCTTCTCGAGAATCAACAAGTGGCAATTCGCTAATCGACTTAGCAACGTGCGGGTTCTATTAACCTCCGACCAACTGGATGACGCGAATGTCTTCATCTTTGCCACCGTGGACACTGAAGCTTGCAGAACACTCGCTCTGCACGTCAAATTCCCTTACACAAGCTGTACGGCGTCGCGCGCTGTCGGCGCGACGAACGAGGCGCGCCCCCTGGGCCCGTTAGGAGAAGCTCTACTCGGATGGACCAGCTGCTTGCATGCAGGAGGATTGAGGCGACCCGACTTCCTAACAATCGGTGCAACCATCGCCAAACACCTGCCAGCCGAGGCACGGGTCGTTAGACGGGTTCCGAGCGCAGTAGCCCTCTCCGTGAGACGCTTGGACGAACGCCTGCAGGTCGACGCTGGCCTTGGTGCCGTCCGTCAGGTCGCAAGTCCACCCGCAGTCCTCTCCCTCCCAGCACGACTTGCACGAGGCAGTTCCGGCGTGCTGTCCCTGCCACTGCTGCGGGCACACGCTGCCCTTGATGTCCAAGCCGTCCCAGAAGGCGCAGCTTCGCTGCGCGTCGGTGGACTGCAGGGAAGCAGGCGCCTGGGGGCTGCTGCTCATGCCACTGGCTGCACAATCGGTGCAGCCATCGCCGAACACCTGCCAGCCGAGGCACGGGTCGTTGGACGGGTTCCGAGCGCAGTAGCCCTCTCCGTGAGACGCGTGGACGTACGCCTGCAGGTCGACGCTGGCCTTGGTGCCGTCCGTCAGGTCGCAAGTCCACCCGCAATCCTCTCCCTCCCAGCACGACTTGCACGAGGCAGTTCCGGCGTGCTGTCCCTGCCACTGCTGCGGGCACACGCTGCCCTTGATGTCCAAGCCGTCCCAGAAGGCGCAGCTTCGCTGCGCGTCGGTGGACTGCAGGGAAGCAGGCGCAGCTGGCTGCGCTGCCAGCCGTCGGTTCCGAGAGCTGCAGGGCAAGCAGGTCGCACTGGAGGCAGTGGCGTGCTGCTGCCACTGCCATGCCAAGCCGTTTCGCTGCGCGTCGGTGGACTGCAGGGATCGCTGCTGCTCATGCCACTGGCTGCACAATCGGTGCAGCCATCGCCGAACACCTGCCAGCCGAGGCACGGGTCGTTGGACGGGTTCCGAGCGCAGTAGCCCTCTCCGTGAGACGCGTGGACGTACGCCTGCAGGTCGACGCTGGCCTTGGTGCCGTCCGTCAGGCAAGTCCACCCGCAGTCCTCTCCCTCCCAGCACGACTTGCACGAGGCAGTCCCGGCGTACTGGCCCTGCCACTGCTGCGGGCACACGCTGCCCTTGATGTCCAAGCCGTCCCAGAAGGCGCAGCTTCGCTGCGCGTCGGTGGACTGCAGGGAAGCAGGCGCCTGGGCGCTGCTGCTCATGCCACTGGCTGCACAATCGGTGCAGCCATCGCCGAACACCTGCCAGCCGAGGCACGGGTCGTTGGACGGGTTCCGAGCGCAGTAGCCCTCTCCGTGAGACGCGTGGACGTACGCCTGCAGGTCGACGCTGGCCTTGGTGCCGTCCGTCAGGTCGCAAGTCCACCCGCAGTCCTCTCCCTCCCAGCACGACTTGCACGAGGCAGTTCCGGCGTACTGGCCCTGCCACTGCTGCGGGCACACGCTGCCCTTGATGTCCAAGCCGTCCCAGAAGGCGCAGCTTCGCTGCGGGTCGGTGGACGATCCACGCAGGCTCGGCGCGGGAGTGCTGGCTGCTCCAACGGCAAAGGTGACGGTGAATCCGCCACCGTGCACCCTGGTACGTTGAGGCGTGGTAGTATGCCAAGGGCTGTCAGTTAACATTTGTTTTTTTTCCGTCCCCCCTCCCGAGGCCACGATCTCTGGGTAAAAGACGATGAAACATTTGCGCTCCAGAGGCCACGATCCCAGGTAATAAACTATGGATCCGCCTCCCGAGTTTCCAAGACGGCCCGGGCAGGCAACTAAGGCCGCCAAGATGGGCCACGATGCCTCGAAGACGGCCCAAGATGGCCTCAAGGCGGCCCAAGAGGGCCTTGGAGGGCCACCAGAGGACCCCCAACAGGGTCCGAAGACGCCCAAACCGTTGAGCTCCCTTCGGTGTTTGACAAATGTTCGCCTTCTCGCCTCTTCGAGCTCCTCTCAGCTCAAGACGGCCCAAGAAGCATCCCAGATGGCCCCAAGACGGCCTAAGAGGCCCCCCAGAGGGTCTCAAGATGGCCCACTAGGACTCCACGATGGCCCAAGTGGCATCCAAGACGGACGGCCCCAACAGGCCCAAGAGGGTCCCCAGGGGGATCCAAGACGACCTCAGAAGGCCTTTCGACGGCCAAAGACTGCCCCGAGACGGTCCCCAGACACCCCCCGATACGGCCAAGATCGCCCCAAGAAGCGGCCCAAGGGAGCCCCAAGACGGCCGAAGAGCCCCAAGACGGCCCCAAGACGGTCCCAAGGAGCCCTGAAGACTGCCCCACAGGAGACCAAGGTAGCCCCAAGACCGGTCAAATGAACTCCATTAGGGCTCCGCAAGAGATGACAATGAAATGTGTCAACTGTGACAGCCTTTCTCTTCCTCCTTCTCCTCCTCCGCCGCCTCCTGCTCCTCCTCCTCCTCCTCCTCCTCCTCTTCCTCCTCCTCGCCATCATCATCATTACCATTTTCATCATCATCATCATCATCATCATCATCATCATCATCATCATCATCACCATCAGCAGCATCAGCATCAGCATCAGCATCAGCATCATATCATCCTCATCCTCCTCGTCCTCCTCGTCCTCCTCGTCATCATCATCATCATCATCATCATCCTCATCCTCATCCTCATCCTCATCCTCAGCCTCAGCCTCATGCTCACCCTCATCATCTTCATCACGGCCCTCCCAAGCCTGGGAACACGAGGTGTCACACGTGACGGCCTCCCGTGCCCCCTCAAACAGTCGCCACTCAGAATGCTGGGCTGGCACGGTGGCGGAACTTGCCGCTGGCAGATTGATCCGCAGCCCTCTGCATTCATCACAGGGGTGCTTGGCGTGCTCGACGTTTATCTCCAAACAGTGCTTGCACTTAGGGTTTCTTGTTTCTTTTCTAAGGAACTGGGCCTGTGTATCGGTCTGGCGGCTCTGTTGTGCCCGTCGCCGCCCCGTCGCCGCCAGTAACTGGGCCTGCCTGTGCGTCTGGCGGCTATATTGCCGCCGTCGCCGCCCCGTCGCCGCCGCCGCCGATCGTCGCCGCCAGATTGCACCATACAGGTTGCACAATACATATTGCACAACCTAGATTGCACCACATAGATTGCGCAGCATATATTGCAGACCATACGTTGCACCACAAAGAGAGCATCACATATACTGCCCAACATGGATGGCACAACCTGGATTGCACATCAGATATTGAACAACGTAGTGGCCAACATATACTGCACATCCTAGATTGCCTCACGTAGCTTGCATCGCATATCTTTCACCACCTAGATTGCTCCGCATAGGTTGCACACCACATATTGCACAACGTAGCTTGCACCACACAGAGGGCTCACTATATATTTTCTTTCTTTAAAAAAAAAAACAGAATATGATCTACCCCCCGGCGTTATCGGTACCCCTTTTGGGTATGTAAATCATATATGATTCTGACCACATGTCCATCATGAATATGAATTTACACTATCCCAGGCCGGCCGGTATCCCCCCCTGGGGTTCCCTTGTAAGAAAACACTATGCGGTGACATTTGTTGTTCTAACATAGCACGTTTCGCGAATCCCTGGCAAAAAATGGGACGAAGTGCGCACGCGCGCGTCGTCGCGCGCGCATGCCGAAACACGTCAAAAACCTTCGGTGCCAGAAGGATTTCGCAATCGAGTTTCCGAAAAATATACCAAAACACAGGGTTTCGCAACACTGATTTGCTAAAAAAGCTTCCGCGCGAGCTTTTGCAAAATCTTAAGAAAACCATCGGTTTTTCAAGATTTTCACAAAATGCTATTAAACGGGCTTCGCGCGCGCATGTTGAAATCTGTCGAACGCCCTTGCGCGTGTGCCGTCGCGAGAATCCTCTGCAACAAATGGGACGAAGTGCAGACGCGCGCGTCGTCGCGCGCGTAGGCCGGAAACCTTCAAAACCCATCGGTTTCGGAAGGATTTCAAAATCGTGTCTCCGAAGGAACTATAAAAATCCAGGGTTTCGCAACACGGATTTTCAACAAAAGCGTGCGCGCGCGCTCTTGCGTCGTCGTCGTCGTCGTCGCCGTCCTCCCTCCTCCCGCGTCGTCGTCGTCGTCGTCGTCGCCTACGTCGTCCTCTGTCTTTCCTCGTGTTCGTCGTCGTCGTCCTCTTTGGCGTCGTGGTCGTTTCCGTCGTCGTTGTCGCCGTGGTCGTCCTTCCTCCTCCTTCCTCGTCGTCGTCGTCGTCCGTCGTCGGCGTCTCGTCGTCGTCCCTCCTATTTCGTCGCCGTCGCCGTCGTCGTCGTCGTCGTCGTCGTTGTCGTCGTCGTCATCCCTCATCCCTCGTCGTTGTCGTCGTCGGCGTCGCCGTCCTTCCTCCTTCTTCGTCGTTCGCGTCGTCGCCCTCCCTCCTCCCTCGTCGTTGTCGTCGTTGTCGTCGTTGTCGTCGTTGTCGCCGTCGTCGTCCTTCCTCCTCCCTCGTCGTCGCTTTCGTTGGCGTCGTCGTCGTCGTCGGCGTCGTTGTCGTCGTCGAAGTCGTCGGAAACGTCGTCGGTGTCGTCGTAGTCGTTGTCGTCGGTGCAGCCGTCGGTGTCGTCGTAGTCGGTCTTAAGAGGTTTTGCAAACCAAGTTGCGGGTGGGTGGGTGGGATGTTTGCGAGAGCATTGGAGATGACGACTTCAAGTTCAGCAGAATGGACTCTCCATTCTAAAAACAGATTAGGATCTACCCCACCCCCCCGCGTTATCAATCCCCTTTTTCGGGTACGTAAATCATACACGATTCTGATCACATGTTCATCCGAAATATGAATTTGCGCTATCCCGGGGGGAGCGGTGTCCCCCAGCCTGAGATTCCCTTGTGAACACACTATGCGGTGACATTTGTTGTTCTAACATAGCACGTTTCGCGAATCCCTGGCAAAAAATGGGACGAAGTGCGCACGCGCGCGTCGTCGCGCGCGCATGCCGAAATACGTCAAAAACCTTCGGTGCCAGAAGGATTTCGCAATCGAGTTCCCGAAAAACTTACAAACACACATGGTTTCGCAACACTGATTTGCTAAAAGAGCTTCCGCGCGAGACTTTGCGAAATCTTAAGAAAACCATCGGTTTTTCAAGATTTTCACAAAATGCTATTAAACGGGCTTCGCGCGCGCGCATGTCGAAATCTGTCGAACGCCCTAGCGCGCGTGCCGTCGCGAGAATCCTCTGCAAAAAACCGGGGCGAAGTGCAGACGCGCGCGTCGTCGCGCGCGTAGGCCGAAAACCTTCAAAACCAATCGGGGCCGGAAGGGTTTCAAAATCGCGTTTCCAAAGAAACTATAAAAACCCAAAGTTTCGCAACACGGATTTTCAACAAAACCGTGCGCGCGCGCTCTTGCGTCGTCGTCGTCGTCGTCCTCCCTCCTCCCGCGTCGTCGTTGTCGTCGCCTACGTCGTCCTCTGTCTTCCTTCGTGTTCGTCGTCGTCGTCCTCTTTGGCGTCGTGGTCGTTTCCGTCGTCGTTGTCGCCGTGGTCGTCCTTCCTCCTCCTCCCTCGTCGTCGTCGTCGTCGTCCGTCGTCGGCGTCTCGTCGTCATCCCTACCATTTCGTCGCCGTCGTCGTCGTCGTCGTCGTGTCGTCGTCGTCGTCTTCCTTCCTCCCTCGTCGTTGTCGTCGTCGGCGTCGCCGTCCTTCCTCCTTCTTCGTCGTTCGCGTCGTCGCCGTCCTCCCTCTTCCCTCGTCGTTGTCGCCGTTGTCGTCGTTGTCGCCGTCGTCGTCCTCCTTCCTCCCTCGTCGTCGTCTTCGTTGGCGACGTCGTCGTCGTCTTCGTCGTCGTCGTCGGCGTCGGCGTCGTCGTCGTCGTCGTCGGTGTCGTCGTTGTCGCCGCCGTCGCCGTCGTCGTCGTCGTCGTCGTTGACGTCGTCGTCGTCGTTGACGTCGTCGTCACCGTCGTCGTCGGCGTCGTCATCGTCGTCGTGGGTTTTGCAAACCAAGTTGCGGGTGGGTGGGTGGGATGTTTGCAAGAGCGCGGGATGTGTCAACTCGTTTGTTGAAATCAATTGCACGACATAGATTGCACCCCAAACGTTGTACAACACGTGTTGCACCACCTCTGCTGTACAGCATAAACAACACAACATAGATCGTACCACATATACTGGACCACGAAGATTACTCCATACATACATACATATATATATATATTGCACAACACCGGTTGTCCCACATACTTGCGTCACATGGACTCTCGTTTCCAAAACAATGATCAACATATACTATACCCCCTACCGAAGCCGGACTCAACAGTCCCCCTCTTGCGATATGTAATTTGCGTCGGATTATGGCCCCGTGGTCGCGCGCGTCGACGCGCGCGAATTCCGAAATCATTGAACAACCTGAGGTTTCGTAGGGGTTTCAAAATCGAGTGCCCCGAGAACATGTAAACGCACGGATTTGCAACATCAGATGTCAACAAAACTTGCGGTCGCGCTCTTGCGGAATCAAAAAACATAGGTGTCTTTTCCACATGTTCATCACATTCTGCCAAGCGGGCATCTCGCGCCGCATGTCGAATTCCTCCCTGGACGCCCTTGCGCACAATTTGTTTTTGGGGGGGGGCATGATCCGTGCCAAATAATACGGCGCGGGCCAATCGCATGTATCGGCCGCGCGCGCTCATGTCTAACGCCTTCCAAAAACTTCACCGCCAATGCGAGGACATCATCATCGGTATCGGCGGGCGTGATCAACAACGGCGCCGTCAGTGGCCTTGCCGTCGTCATCGCCACCTCCGTCACCACCGCTGCTCTCGAAATCATGTCTACCACTGTCAGTGTCGCCATGATACCGCGCCCGCCCAAGTCACCGACTCGCACTGGAATGCCTGCACTGAAGTGCCCAAGGGTCAGCGACACCGCGGCCGCGTCGACCGTGCCAAACTAGCTGGCCGCTGTGCGCGCAAGCATGCGCGGGCTAGCGCGGCCACAGAGATGCACAAACCAACACCAAGCATGCATCGCAATGGCCGCCGCATGGGTTTTGCAAACCAAATTGCGGGTGGGTGGGTGGGAAGTTTGCAAAGGCATGGATTGTGTCAACTCGCTTGTAGAAATCAACTGCACCACATATATTGCAGATCGTATGCTCCTAAAACTGATTGCACAACGTAAACTGCACCACCTAGATTGCACAGCATTGATTGCTCCACGTGGTTGCATCACATATATTGCCCCACATAAGCAACACACACACACACTGTTTGAGGTCCACGCTGGCTAACATAATGTTGTGCACCCTCCCACACGGTTCCGACCAGCCTCTGGCACAACCCGCCGGCCACACAGAAAAAACAGAAACTATCTTCACTTCTTCCGCCTCCAAGATGGCCTCCAAGACGCCTCCAAGACGGCCAATACGACCCCAAAGCGGTCCCAAGAGTGCTCCAAGAGGAACTCCACGAGGCCAAAAAGTTACTGCCTTGACTCAGGTCTTCCAATGATGTTAATGTGTTCGCCCTTTCGGGCTTCCGGCTCTCCAAGCCGGCTCCATATGCTCCCAAGATCGCCCTTGGACGACCCAGGAGGCCTCCAAGGCCCGCAGGACGGGCCAAGAGGCCCCAAGACAGCCCAAGAGGCCCGCAAGACGGCCCCACAACTGCCCAGAGAGGCTCCCAAGACGGCCTCCGAAGGCCAAGAGGTTCATCTGAGGCCCCCAAAGCCCCCAGAGGCCCCGAAAAGGCTCGCTCACAAGAAGGCCCAGCAGGCCCCCAAGAGGCCCCGACGAGGCCTCCAAGAGGCTCCCCAGAAGCCCGCAGGAAGCCCCAAGACGGCCTCGACAGGCCTTCTTTTCCCCTTCCTTCTCTTCATCCTCCTCCTCATTCTTCTCCTCTTCTTTCCTCTTTCTCTCCCGACTGTTCCCCCAATGGGTTCCACAACGGCTGGGAAACACACATAGTCCAATAGCTTGGTCAGAATTTAGCTTGTGTTTGGCCGCATGGGCGTTTCCAGAGGGCAGGGGGCGGCGGTGGTTCGCCGTAGGCGCCTTGGACAAAATCGACCCTGCCATGGGTCAAACTTGTCAGGTGATGTGAAGAGTGGGACAGAGTTGATCACCCAGCAAGACACTCGAGTCAAAAGAGCAACGGATGAAGATAGCGCCGCAGTCACCAAATGTGGCATGGCTGGGGCACAGAGAATGTCGGATCTAGACGCAGAAACAGGATCGACACAGAGCCAACCTTCCACCTTACCTCATTCACACATCCTCTCCCATCGCTCCTCTCCTCCCTCCTCCCTCTTCCCTCCTCCCTCCTCGTCACTTCTCATCCTCCTTCTTCCCTCCTGCGCTTCCCCTTACTCTTTTCTCACTTCCAGTTCGAAACAAGCACGCACCCAAGACTCAATGATCACGAACATGAGCGCACCAGCGGAGCCTCCCCCACGGCCCCGAGGGCCGCCCAATAGGGGCCAGCTTTGGATCGGGAAGCCGGGTCGAGGTCGGAACCCCGTCGTCAGTGATGGAATCGGGGCCAAGTCGGCAATCGCCGCGTCGGTTCCAAAATCACAAACCAGAGCTCGAATCGAAGATTTTCTCGAGTCGGATCGATGCCGAACCGGCCTGGGGCTGCGCCGGATCGGGCCAGATCGGAGACCCTTGTCACCAGACGCTGAAAAGCGCCCGCTGCTGACGACGAATAGACGCAGACAGGGCCGGGGGGCGCCCCCTTCGACACAGACTTCCGATCCCGCGTTCCTTCCCCGAACAGTGCTTGCACTACTACAGCGTGGCTAATGGTTGTGACCTCTGTTACGGCGCGCTTGTGAATCGAGATGCGCGGAGAGAGCGCTTCCTCAAGCGATACTGCGATGAGTCGAGGTGTCCCAGAACACAGGAACCCGCTCGCCGTAGTCATAAAACGGGGTGAACCACCCCGGCGGTGGTGTAAGCTCCCCATGTGGAAAAACGGGCGGGGGAAATTTCCACACCGCGATGCACATACAATCAATAACCCCCCCCAAAGAAAAACAAAGCCGGGTGTGGGGCCGAAACCTGCTCCGCCACAGCCTGGTCCCACATTGCAGGACTCTGCAGGGGGGCAGGGGTCCCACGTCTGCAGGGATGGCCAGATCTTTAGCAGCAGCTTGCGCGGCTTCTGCGCAAGTGCTCGGGCGGGTTCACACAGCGTTCGCCGGGTCGCCGCCCGCGGGCGCCTCGTGCGCTGGCGCCGCCCGTGGGGGCGCCTCGCGCCTTGGCTGGGTTGCCAGGGTTTCGCCTGGCCGCCGTCCGTGGGCGCCTCGTGGGCGTCCCAGTCCGTTGGCTGGCGGCGCGAAGCACACACTGTTCACACCCCATAGATTGCAAACGCAAATTGCGCTCAATAGATTGCACCACGCAGATGGTGCCCCATAGCTTGCATCGAATGGCATGCACTACGCAGAGTGCACCCCAAATGCTGCACCTAATACGGTTTGCTGGTGGCTCGAAGCACGCATTGCTCACACCCCACAGATTGCACCACGCAGACGGCGCCCCATAGCTTGCATCGAATGGCATGCACTGCACAGAGTGCACCGTAAATGCTGCACCAAACATTTTGCACCACACGTATAGAGTGCAACACATGCATTGCACCAAATCGCATACATCACACATATTGCAACTCAGGGGCAAAACCCCCTTCCGCAAAACACCCTGTAGTGAAAACGACCCGGGGACCACACCTGGCGGGCGCGCAAGCCCGCAAACATGCGGCCGCAACCTTCTCGAAAACCAACGAATGGCAATTCGCTAATCGACTTGGCAACGTGCGGATTCTATTAACCTCCGACCAACTGGATGACTCGAATGTCTTCATCTTTGCCACCGTGGACACTGAAGCTTGCAGAACACTCGCTCTGCACGTCAAATTCCCTTACACAAGCTGTACGGCGTCGCGCACTGTCGGCGCGACGAACGAGGCGAGCCCCTCTGGGCCCGTTAGGAGCAGCTCTACTCGGATGGACCAGCTGCTTGCATGCAGGAGGGTTGAGGCGACCCGATTTCCTAACAATCGGTGCAGCCATCGCCGAACACCTGCCAGCCGAGGCACGGGTCGTTAGACGGGTTCCGAGCGCAATAGCCCTCTCCGTGAGACGCGTGGACGTACGCCTGCAGGTCGACGCTGGCCTTGGTGCCGTCCGTCAGGTCGCAAGTCCATCCGCAGTCCTCTCCCTCCCAGCACGACTTGCACGAGGCAGTCCCGGCATACTGGCCGTGCCACTGCTGCGGGCACACGCTGCCCTTGATGTCCAAGCCATCCCAGAAGGCGCAGCTTCGCTGCGCGTCGGTGGACTGCAGGGAAGCAGACGCCTGGGCGCTGCTGCTCATGCCGTTGGCTGCACAATCGGTGCAGCCATCGCCGAAAACCTGCCAGCCGAGGCACGGGTCGTTGGACGGGTTCTGAGCGCAGTAGCCCTCTCCGTGAGACGCGTGGACGTACGCCTGCAGGTCGACGCTGGCCTTGGTGCCGTCCGTCAGGTCGCACGTCCACCCGCAGTCCTCTCCCTCCCAGCACGACTTGCACGAGGCAGTCCCGGCGTACTGGCCCTGCCACTGCTGCGGGCACACGCTGCCCTTGATGTCCAAGCCGTCCCAGAAGGCGCAGCTTCGCTGCGGGTCGGTGGACTGCAGGGAAGCAGACGCCTGGGCGCTGCTGCTCATGCCGCTGGCTGCACAATCGGTGCAGCCATCGCCGAATACCTGCCAGCCGAGGCACGGGTCGTTGGACGGGTTCCGAGCGCAGTAGCCCTCTCCGTGAGACGCATGGACGTACGCCTGCAGGTCGACGCTGGCCTTGGTGCCGTCTGTCAGGTCGCACGTCCACCCGCAGTCCTCTCCCTCCCAGCACGACTTGCACGAGGCAGTCCCGGCGTACTGGCCCTGCCATTGCTGCGGGCACACGCTGCCCTTGATGTCCAAGCCGTCCCAGAAGGAACAGCTTCGCTGCGCGTCGGTGGACTGCAGGGAAGCAGACGCCTGGGCGCTGCTGCTCATGCCGTTGGCTGCACAATCGGTGCAGCCATCGCCGAACACCTGCCAGCCGAGGCACGGGTCGTCGGACGGGTTCCGAGCGCAGTAGCCCTCTCCGTGAGACGCGTGGACGTACGCCTGCAGGTCGACGCCGGCCTTGGTGCCGTCTGTCAGGTCGCAAGTCCACCCGCAGTCCTCTCCCTCCCAGCACGACTTGCACGAGGCAGTCCCGGCGTACTGGCCCTGCCACTGCTGCGGGCACACGCTGCCCTTGATGTCCAAACCGCCCCAGAAGGCGCAGCTTCGCTGCGGGTCGGTGGACGATCCACGCAGGCTCGGCGCGGGAGTGCTGGCAGCTCGAACGGTCAAGGTGACGGTGAATCCGCCACAATGCACCCTGGCACGTTGAGGCGTGGTAGTATGCCAAAGGCTGTCAGGTAACATTGTGTTTTTTTTCGTTCCCCCCTCCCGAGGCCACGATCTCTGGGCAAAAGACGATAAAACGTTTGCGCTCCAGAGGCCACGATCCCAGGTAATAAACTATGGATCCGCCTCCCAAGTTTCCAAGACCCAGGCAGGCAACCAAGGCTGCCCAAATAACCCAAGATGCCTCGAAGACGGCACAGGATGGCCCCAAGGCGGCCCAAGAGGACCTCGGAGGACCACAAGAGGACCCCCAACAGGGTCCGAAGACGCTCAAACCGTTGAGCTCCCTAGGTGTTTGACAAATGTTCGCATTCTCGCCTCTTCGAGCCTCTCGCAGCTCAAGACGGCCCAAGAAACATCCCATATGGGCCCAAGACGGCCTAAGAGGCCCCCAAAGGGTCTCAAGATGGCCCACTAGGACTCCACGATGGCCCAAGTGGCATCCAAGATGGACCCAACACGGCCCAAGAAGGTCCCTAGGGGGATCCAAGACGACCTTAGAAGGCCCTTCGACGGCCAAAGACTGCCCCGAGACGGCCCCCAGACACCCCCCCGTACGGCCAAGATCGCCCCAAGAAGTGGCCCAAGAGAGCCCCAAGACGGCCGAAGAGCCCCAAGACGGCCCCAAGACGGTCCTAAGGAGCCCTGAAGACTGCCCCACAAGAGACCAAGGTAGCCCCAAGACCGGTCAAATGATCTCCATTAGGGCTCCTCAAGAACTGAAAATGAAAGGTGTCACATGTGACAGCCTTTCTCTTCCTCCTTCTCCTCCTCCGCCCCCTCCTGCTCCTCCTCCTCCTATTCCTCCTCCTCCTCCTCCTCCTCCTCCTCCTCCTCATCATCATCATCATTATCATCAACATCATCAACATCATCATCATCATCATCATCATCATCATCATCATCATCATCACCCTCATCATCCTCATCACGGCCCTCCCAAGCCTGGCGACACGAGGTGTCACACGTGACGGCCTCCCGTGCCACCTCGAACAGTCGCCGCTCAGAATGCTGGGCTGGCACGGTGGCGGAACTTGCCGCTGGCAGATTGATCCGCAGCCCTCTGCATTCATCGCAGGGGTGCTTGGCGTGCTCGACGTTTTTCCCCAAACAGTGTTTGCCCTTAGGGGTTCTTATTTCTTTTCTAAGGAACTGGGCCTGTGTATCGGTCTGGCGGCTCTGTTGTGGCCGTCGCCGCCCCGTCGCCGCCCGTAACTGGGCCTGCCTGTGCGTCTGGCGGCTATGTTGCCGCCGTCGCCGCCCCGCCGCCGCCGTCGCCGTTCGTCGCCGCCAGATTGGACCATGCAGGTTGCACAATACATATTGCACAACCTAGATTGCACCACATAGATTGCGCAACATAGATTGCAGGCCATAACTTGCACCACAATGAGTGCATCACATATACTGCCCCACATGGGTGGTACAACCTAGATAGCACATCAGATATTGCACAACGTAGAGTGACCAACATATATTGCACATCCTAGATTGCATCATGTAGCTTGCATCGCATCTGTTTCACCACCGATATTGCTCCACATAGGTTGCACACCACATATTGCACAACATAGCTTGCACCACACATAGGGCTCACTACAGATTGCACAGCATAGAATACACCATGTGGGTTGCACCACACATGGTGTATCACGTCGATTGCACGACATATATTGCACCACATATGTTGCACAACACGTATTGCACCACCTCTGCTGTACAACATAAATAGCACAACATAGATCGCACCACAAATACTGCACCACGAAGATTACTCCATATGTACATACATATATACATTGCACAACACCGGTTGTCCCACACATTTGCGTCACATGGACTCTCGTTTCCAGTGCCAGAAGAATAATACAAATGAATTATACCCCCCATACCGAAGCTGGACTCAACAATCCCCCTCTCGCGATATGCAATTTGCATCAAATTATGGCCCCGTGGCCGCGCGCGTCGTCGCGCGCGCATGCCGAAATTATTTTAAACGACCTTGGGTTTCGTAGGGGTTTTCGCAACCGACTGCCCCGAAACCATATAAACACACGCTTTTGCAACATCAGATGTCAACAAAAACTTGCGCTCGCGCTACAACCATTGGTTTTCCACATGTTCATCAAATTCTGCCAAGCGGGCCTCTCGCGCCAGATGTCGAAGTCATCCGGACGCCCTTGCGCGCACGTTTGGGGGGGGGCATGCTCCGTGCCAAGTAATGCTGCGCGGGCCAATCGCATGCATCGGCCGCGCGCGCTCATGTCGAACTCCTTCAAAAACCTTCACCGCAAACGCGAGGACATCATCATGGGTATCGGCGGGCGTGATCAACAACGGCACCGTCATTGGCTTTGCCATCGTCATCGCCACCTCCGTCACCACCGCTGCTCTCGAAATCATGTCTACCTTTGTCAGCGTCGCCATGATACCGCGCCCGCCCAAGTCACCGACTCGCACTGAAGTGCCCGCAGTGAAGTGCCCAAGGGTCAGCGACACCGCGGCCGCGTCGAACGTGCCAAACTAGCTGGCCGCTGTGCGCGCAAGCATGCGCGGGCTAGCGCGGCCACAGAGATGCACAAGCCAGCGCCAAGCATGCATCGCAATCGCCGCCGCATGGGTTTTGCAAACCAAGTTGCGGGTGGCTGGGTGGGATGCTTGCAAGAGCATGGATTGTGCCAACTCGCTTGTAGCACCACATATATTGCACATCGTATGCTCCTAAAACTGTTTGCACAGCGTAAACTGCACCACCTAGATTGCACGTGGTCGCATCACATATAGTGCCCCACATAAACAACACCACATGTATTGCGAGAGACACACTGTTTGGGGTCCATGCTGGCTAAGATATTGTTGTGCAGCCTCCCACAAGATTCCCACCACCCTCTGGCACAACCCGCCGGCCACACAGAAAAACCGGAAACCAACTTCTTGCCCTCTAAGATGGCCTCCGAGACGCCTCCAAGACGGCCAATATGACCCCAAAGCGGTCCCAAGAGTGCTCCAAGAGGAACTCCAGGAGGTCAAAAAGTTACTGCTTGGACTCAGGTCTTCCAGTGATGATAAGTGTTTTCGCCCTTTCGGGCTTCGGGCTCTCCAGGCCGGCTCCATATGCCCCCAAGATTCTCCAAGACGACCCAGGAGGCCTCTAAGGCCCGCAGGACGGGCCAAGAGGGCCCCAAGACAGCCCAAGAGGCCCACAAGACGGCCCCACAACCGCCCAGAGAGGCTCCCAAGGCGGCCTCCGAAGGCCAAGAGGTTCCTCTGAGGCCCCCAAAGCCCTCAGAGGCCCCGAGAAGGCTCACAAGAAGGCCCAGCAGGCCCCCAAGAGGCCCCGACGAGGCCTCCAAGAGGCTCCCAGGAAGCTCGCAGGAAGCCCCAAGACGGCCTCGACAGGACTTCTTTTCCCCTTCCTTCTCTTCGTCATCCTCCTCATTCCTCTCCTCTTCCTTTCTCTTTCTCTCCCGACTGTTCCCCCAATGGGTTCCACAACGGCTGGGAAACACACATAGTCCAATAGCTTGATCAGAATTTAGCCCACGTTTGGCCGCATGGGCGTTTCCAGAGGGCAGGGGGCGGCGGTGGTTCGCCGTGGGCGCCTTGGATAAAATCGACCCTGCCATGGGTCAAACTTGTCAGGTGATGTGAAGAGTGGGACAGAGTTGATCACCCAGCAAGACACTCGAGTCAAAAGAGCGACGGATGAAGATAGCGCCGCAGTCACCAAGTGTGGCATGGCTGGGGCACAGAGAATGTCGGATCTAGACGCAGAAACAGGATCGACACAGAGCCAACCTTCCACCTTCCCTCCCTCAAACATCCTCTCCCGTCTCTCCTCTCCTCCCTCCTCCCTCTTCCCTCCTCGTCCCTTCTCATCCTCCTTCTTCCCTCCTCCGCTTCCCCTTTACTCTTTCCTCACTCCCAATTGGAAACAAGCACGCACCCAAGACTTAATGAACACGAACATGAGCGCACCAGCGGAGCCTCCCCCACGGCCCCGAGGGCCGCCCAACATGGGGCCAGCTTCGGATCGGGAAGCCGGGTCGAGGTCGGAACCCCGTCGTAACTGATGGAATCGGGGCCAAGTCGGCAGTCGCCGCGTCGGCTCCAACATCACAAACCAGAGCTCGGATCGAAGACTTTCTCGAGTCGGATCGATGCCGAACCGGCCTGGGGCTGCGCCGGATCGGGCCAGATCGGAGACCCAGGTCACCAGACGCTGAAAAGCGCCCGCCGCTGACGACGAGGAGACGCAGACAGGGCCGGGGGGCGCCGCCGTCGACACAGACTTCCGATTCAGCGTTTTTTTCCCCGAACAGTGCTTGCACTACTGCAGCGTGGCTCATGGTTGTGACCTCTGTCACGGCGCGCTTGTGAATCGAGATGCGCGGAGAGAGCGCTTCCTCAAGTGATGCTGCGATGAGGCGAGGTGTCCCAGAACACAAGAACCCGCTCGCCGTAGTCATAAAACGGAGTGAACCACCCCGGCGGTGGTGTAAGCTCTCCATGTGGAAAAACGGGCGGGGGAAATTTCCACACCGCTATGCACATACAGTACCCCCCCCCAAAGAAAAACAAAACCGGGTGTGGGGCCGACACCCACTCCGCCACAGCCCGGTCCCACATTGCAGGACTCTGCAGGGGGGCAGGGGGTCCCACGTCAGCAGGGATGGCCAGAACTTTAGCAGCAGCTTGCGCGGCTTCTGCACAAGTGCTCGGGCGGGTTCACGCAGCGCTCGCCGGGTCGCCGCCCGCGGGCGCCTCGTGGGCTGGCGCCGCCCGTGGGGGCGCCTCGCGCCTTGGCTGGGTTGCCAGGGTTTCGCCTGGCCGCCGTCCGTGGGCGCCTCGTGGGCGTCCCCGTCCGTTGGCTGGCGGCTCGAAGCGCACATTGCTCACACCCCATAGATTGCACCACGCAGATGGCGCTCAGTAGATTGCACCACGCAGATGGCGCCCCATGGCTTGCATCGAACGGCATGCACTACGCAGAGTGCACCCCGAATGCTGCACCTAATACGGTTTGCTGGCGGCTCGAAGCACACATTGCTCACACCCCACAGATTGCACCACGCAGATGGCGCCCCATCGCTTGCATCGAATGGCATGCACTGCGCAGAGTGCACTGTGCATGCTGCACCAAACATCTTGCACCACACGTATAGAGTGCAACACACACATTGCACCACATCGCATACATCACATAGATTGCAACTCAGGGGCAAAACCCCCTTCCGCAAAACACCCTGTAGTGAAAACGACCCGGGGACCACACCTGGCGGGCGCAAGCCCGCGAACATGCGGCCGCAAACCTTCTCGAGAACCAACAAATGGCAATTCGCTAATCGACTTGGCAACGTGCGGGTTCTATCAACCTCCGAACAACTGGATGACGCGAATGTCTTCATCTTTGCCACCGTGGACACTGAAGCTTCCAGAACACTCGCTCTGCACGTCAAATTCCCTCACACAAGCTGTACGGCGTCGCGCGCTGTCGGCGCGACGAACGAGGCGCGCCCCCCTGGGCCCGTTAAGAGCAGCTCTACTCGGATGGACCAGCTGCTTGCATGCAGGAGGGTTGAGGCGACCCGACTTCCTAACAATCTGTGCAGCCATCGCCGAACACCTGCCAGCCGAGGCACGGGTCGTTGGACGGGTTCCGAGCGCAGTAGCCCTCTCCGTGAGACGCGTGGACGTACGCCTGCAGGTCGACGCCGGCCTTTGTGCCGTCCGTCAGGTCGCAAGTCCACCCGCAGTCCTCTCCCTCCCAGCACGACTTGCACGAGGCAGTCCCGGCGTACTGGCCCTGCCACTGCTGCGGGCACACGCTGCCCTTGATGTCCAAGCCGTCCCAGAAGGCGCAGCTTCGCTGCGCGTCGGTGGACTGCAGGGAAGCAGACGCCTGGGCGCTGCTGCTCATGCCGTTGGCTGCACAATCGGTGCAGCCATCGCCGAACACCTGCCAGCCGAGGCACGGGTCGTTGGACGGGTTCCGAGCGCAGTAGCCCTCTCCGTGAGACGCGTGGACGTACGCCTGCAGGTCGACGCTGGCCTTGGTGCCGTCCATCAGGTCGCAAGTCCACCCGCAGTCCTCTCCCTCCCAGCACGACTTGCACGAGGCAGTCCCGGCGTACTGGCCCTGCCACTGCTGCGGGCACACGCTGCCCTGGATGTCCAAGCCGTCCCAGAAAGCGCAGCTTCGCTGCGCGTCGGTGGACTGCAGGGAAGCAGACGCCTGGGCGCTGCTGCTCATGCCGTTGGCTGCACAATCGGTGCAGCCATCGCCGAACACCTGCCAGCCGAGGCACGGGTCGTTGGACGGGTTCCGAGCGCAGTAGCCCTCTCCGTGAGACGCGTGGACGTACGCCTGCAAATCGACGCTGGCCTTGGTGCCGTCCGTCAAGTCGCAAGTCCACCCGCAGTCCTCTCCCTCCCAGCACGACTTGCACGAAGCAGTCCCGGCGTACTGGCCCTGCCACTGCTGCGGGCACACGCTGCCCTGGATGTCCAAGCCGTCCCAGAAGGCGCAGCTTCGCTGCGGGTCGTTGGACGATCCACGCAGGCTCGGCGCGGGAGTGCTGGCAGCTCCAACGGCAAAGGTGACGGTGAATCCGCCACCGTGCACCCTGGTACGTTGAGGCGTGGTAGCATGCCAAGGGCTGTCAGGTAACATATGTGTTTTTTTTGTCCCCCCCTCCCGAGGCCACAAGACGATGAAACATTTGCGCTCCAGAGGCCAGTGGCAGGGTCCGCATGCAGTTCCACCCCCCATTTCGGCGCACCCCTTGCACGTTCCGCGGCCCCATAGGTCGCTCCACCGACGGCTCTGGTGGCAACGTCCGCATGGCGTACCCGTGCCAATTTTGGCACACCCGTCACACGCGTCGTGACCCCAGAGAGGTTCACCGAGGTCGATACCCACAACTGCGTCACTCACAACTGCACATGGTTGGGTCCCTCGCCAGGATAATTTTCGTCCCCCCTCCCGAGGCCACGATCTCTGGGCAAAAGACGATGAAACATTTGCGCTCCAGAGGCCACGATCCCAGGTAACAAACTATGGATCCGCCTCCCGAGGTTCCAAGACGGCCCAGGCAGGCAACCAAGGCCGCCAAGATGGCCCAAGATGCCTCGAAGACGGCCCAGGATGGCCCCAAGGCGGCCCAAGAGGGCCTTGGAGGGCCACAAGAGGACCCCCCACAGGGTCCGAAGACGCCCAAACCGTTGAGCTCCCTTAGGTGTGTGAGCGTCTCTCAACTCAAGACGGCCCAAGAAGCATCCCACATGGCCCCAAGACGGCCAGAGAGGCCCCCCAGAGGGTCTCAAGATGGCCCACTAGGACTCCACGATGGCCCAAATGGTATCCAAGACGGACGGCCCCAACACGGCCCAAGAGGGTCCCCAGGGGGATCCAAGACGACCTTAGAAGGCCTTTCGACGGCCAAAGACTGCCCCGAGACGGTCCCCAGACACCCCCCGATACGGCCAAGATCGCCCCAAGAAACGGCCCAAGAGAGCCCCAAGACGGCCGAAGAGCCCCAAGACGGCCCCAAGACGGTCCCAAGGAGCCCTGAAGACTGCCCCACAGGAGACCAAGGTAGCCCCAAGACCAGTCAAATGAACTCCATTAGGGCTCCGCAAGAGATGAAAGTGAAAGGTGTCAACTGTGACAGCCGTTCTCTTCCTCCTTCTCCTTCTCCGCCGCCTCCTGCTCCTCCTCCTACTCCTCCTCCTCTTCCTCTTCCTCCTCGCCATCATCATCATCAGCATTACCATTTTCATCATCATCATCATCAGCATCATCATCATCATCACCACCACCACCACCACCACCATCATCATCATCATCATCATCATCATCATCAGCATCAGCATCAGCATCAGCATCAGCATCATCATCATCATCATCATATCATCCTCCTCCTCGTCCTCCTCGTCATCATCATCATCATCATCATCATCATCCCTCATCATCATCCTCATCCTCATCCTCATCCTCATCCCCATCCTCATCCTCAGCCTCAGCCTCATGCTCACCCCCATCATCCTCATCACAGCCCTCCCAAGCCTGGGAACACGAGGTGTCACACGTGACGGCCTCCCGTGCCCCCTCGAACAGTCGCCACTCAGAATGCTGGGCTGGCACGGTGGCGGAACTTGCCGCTGGCAGATTGATCCGCAGCCCTCTGCATTCGTCACAGGGGTGCTTGGCGTGCTCGACGTTTATCTCCAAACAGTGCTTGCACTTAGGGGTTCTTATTTCTTTTCTAAGGAACTGTGCCTGTGTATCGGTCTGGCGGCTCTGTTGTGGCCGTCGCCGCCCCGTCGCCGCCCGTAACTGGGCCTGCCTGTGCGTCTGGCGGCTATGTTGCCGCCGTCGCCGCCCCACCGCCGCCGTCGCCGATCGTCGCCGCCAGATTGCACCATACAGGTTGCACAATACATATTGCACAACCTAGATTCCCCTTTCTATAAAGAGACTAGACTCTACCCCCCCCGGAGTTATCGCGCCCCCTGGGATAATAGGATTTCATATAGATTCTGCACACGCGTCCATCCTAAATATGAAACCATACCATCCCAGCCAAACCGGGCTCCCCCCCCTGAGGTTCCCTTTTTAAAAACACTATGCGGTGACATGTTTTGTTCTAACATCGCACTTTTTCACGAACCCCTTGCAACAAATGAAACGTAATGCACACGCGCGCGTCGTCGCGCGTGCATGCCGAAATCCTTCAAAAACCTTCGGTGTCAGAAGGGATTCGCAATCGAGTTACCAAAAAAAACATACACAAACGCATGGTTTCGCAACACAGAGTTGGTAAAAAAAAAACTCCCGCGCGAGCTCTTGCGAAATCTAAAGAAAACCATGTTTTTTTTTCAAGACTTTCACAAAATGCTACCAAACGGGCTTCGCGCGCGCAAGTCGAAATCTGTCGAACGCCCTTGCGCGTGTGCCGTCGCGAGAATCCTCTGCAAAAAAACTGGACGAAATGCAGACGCGCGCGTCGTCGCGCGCGCAGGCCGAAAACCTTCAAAACCCATTGTTTTCGGAAGGATTGCAGAATCGTGTCCAAAAAACCTTCAAAAACACAACGTTTCGCAACACGGATTTTCAACAAAAGCGTGCGCGCGCGCTTTTGCGTCGTCGTCGTCGTCGTCGCCGTCCTCCCTCATCCCGCGTCGTCGTCGTCGTCGTCGCCTACGTCGTCCTCTGTCTTTCCTCGTGTTCGTCGTCGTCGTCCTCTTCGGCGTCGTGGTCGTTTCCGTCGTCGTTGTCGCCGTGGTCGTCCTTCCTCCTCATCCGTCGTCGTCGTCGTCCGTCGTCGGCGTCTCGTCGTCGTCCGTCCTATTTCGTCGCCGTCGTCGTCGTCGTCGTCGTCGTCGTCTTCCCTCCTCCCTCGTCGTTGCCGTCGTCGGCGTCGCCGTCCTTCCTCCTTCTTCGTCGCGTCGCGTCGTCGCCGTCCTCCCTCCTCCCTCGTCGTTGTCGTCGTTGTCGTCGTTGTCGCCGTCGTCGTCCTTCCTCCTCCCTCGTCGTCGCCTTCGTTGGCGTCGTCGTCGTCGTTTTCGTCGTCGTCGGCGTCGGCGTCGTTGTCGTCGTCGAAGTCGTCGGAGAGGAGACGTCGTCGGTGTCGTCGTAGCCGTTGTCGCCGTAGTCGGTCTTAAGAGGTTTTGCAAGCCAAGTTGCGGGTGGGTGGGTGGGGTGTTTGCGCGAACAGTGAAGATGACGACTTCAAGTTCAGCAGAATGGATTCTCTTTTCTAAAAGATTAATAGATTCCCCCCCGAACTTATCGGTCCCCCCTGGGATAGTATGATTTCATATATATATAAGTATATATATATATATTCTGCACACTCGTCCGTCCTAAACATGAAACCGTACCATCCCAGTCAAACCGGGTTCCCCCCCCCCCCTGAGGTTCCCTGCGGTGACATTTTTTGTTCTAACGTAGTACTTTTTTGCGAATCCCTTGCAACAGATGAGACGAAGTGCACACGCGCGCCTCGTCGCCAACGCCTGCCGACATCTTTCGACAACCCTCGGTGCGGGAAGGATTTCGCAATCGAACTTCCCAAAAAAACATACAACAACGCATGGTTTCGCAACACAAGAGTTGCTAAAAAAAGCTTCCGCGAAAGCTTTTGCGAAATCTTGAGAAAACCATTGTTTTTTTTTCAAGACTTTCACAAAATGCTACCACACGGGCTTCGCGCGCGCTCATGCCGAAATCTGTCGAACGCCCTTGCGCGTGTGCCGTCGCGAGAATCCCCTGCAAAAAAACGGGACGAAATGCAGACGCGCGCGTCGTCGCGCGCGTATGCCGAAAACCTTCAAAACCGATCGATGTCGGAAGGGTGTCAAAATCGTGTGTCCAAAAAACCTTCAAAAACACAAGGCTTCGCAACACGGATTTCCAATTAAAGCGTGCGCGCGCGCTCTTCCGTCGTCGTCGTCGTCGTCGTCGTCGCCGTCCTCCCTTCTCCCGCGTCGTTGTCGTCGTCGTCGTCGTCGCCTACGTCGTCCTATGTCTTTCCTCGTGTTCGTCGTCGTCGTCCTCTTTGGCGTCGTGGTCGTTTCCGTCGTCGTTGTCGCCGAAGTCGTCCTTCCTCCTCCTCCCTCGTCGTCGTCGTCGTCCGTCGTCGGCGTCTCGTCGTCGTCCCTCCTATTTCGTCGCCGTCGTCGTCGTCGTCGTCGTCGTCGTCGTCGTCTTCCCTCCTCCCTCGTCGTTGCCGTCGTCGGCGTCGCCGTCCTTCCTCCTTTTCGTCGTTCGCGTCGTCGCCGTCCTCCCTCCTCCCTCGTCGTTGTCGTCGTTGTCGCCGTCGTCCTCCCTCCTTCCTCGTTGTCTTCGTTGGCGACGTCGTCGTCGTCGTCTTCGTCGTCGGCGTCGGCGTCGTTGTCGTCGTCGTCGTCGACGACGTTGGCGTCGTCGTCGCCGCCGCCGCCGTCGTCGTCGTCGTCGTCGTCGGCGTCGTTGACGTCGTCGTCGTCGTCGGTGTCGTCGTTATCGTCGTCGTCGGCGTCGTCGTCGTCGTCGTTGTCATCGTCGTCGGCGTCGGCGTCGTCGTCGTCGTCGGTGTCGTCGTCGCCGTCGTCGTCGTCGTCGTCGTTGTCGGCGTCGTCGAAGTCGTTGGAGACGTCGTCGGTGTCGTCGTACTCGTTGTCGGCGTCGTCGTCGTCGTTGTCGCTGTCGTCGTCGGCGTCGCTGTTGTTACCAAGTGCCATTTGGTACCCACCGTCACGGTCTTGAGAGATTTTGCGAACCAAGTTGCGGGTGGGTGGGTGGGATGTTTGCGCAAGCAGTGGAGTGGACAACTCACTGCGAACAGAAACTGATTG